GGGGTCGGGACTCCGCATAGCGTATAGCGTCATGCTGGGGTGCATACCGCTACGCGGAAGACCAAAAAAGCTTGGAGCATGTTGTGCACCGGCTGCCTCACGCTTAGGACTTTAGCGCTCTGTCGGAGCGGCTCCTAGCCGTCGAGCAGACGAATGTATCACATCATGCGGAGGTGGAGCGCTTGGCGCCGTTGAAACGGAAGTTATTGCACGACGTGCTCGGAACCAGTTGCTGGATTAGCTTCGAGGAGGTCGAGCGCCTTTGGGCTCAGTACGGCTTAGACAAGCCCTCATCAAACAACGGATAGTTGCGCATCCGTCTCGAAAGGTTCAGTGTATACACAAAGCCTCGCTTGGCCACAACCTTGAATGGTCCGATAAACCGTGCACAAAGCTTCTTGCTTTATCCACGGTTTATCAGACCATTCATGGGTAAGAAAGGTTTTAGCATTTAAGAAAATTAAGTCTCCGACCTCAAAGTCTTAAACATTTCTACTACCTCATCCGTCTGGATATTCCAGCGTCATGTCTTGGCTTTCAGCCATCGCATCGAAAAAGTGTCGTAAGACACTCAACTCTAATCTGGTAGAGGAAATTATTCACTTCTTTGCCATCACTGAGGGGGCTGAAATCAGCTAGACGATCGGCTATTCCTTCGCACCAAGCCCAAGTGGGTAGGCGGCGTCAGCGATACGCAAGGATGATGGGGCCGTTCGCGCAGAACGGCGTGTAGTCATTAGACGCATGCACTGCATTATTCTGAGCGAGATCTTCGAGTGGCGGCATGGCGCTCTAGCGCCTCGGCGTCTTAGCGCATGCGCTATGAAGGACCTCCTCGACGACGCAATTCAAGCGGTCAGTTTGACCATCGGTCTGCAGATGGACATATTCAGCTTGGTGCCCAGCACCTTGAAGATCGTTGGTCAAATTTTCCAGTGAAGCGTGGGTCTCTGGTAGAGATAATTTACTTTGGGAGTCCATGTATCGATTCACAAACAGCGTTGCTGTACCCACAATGTCGATTGAATCCGCAAGATGGGCCGTCTTGTTCAAACGTTCGACGAAGACCACGATATTTTCGTTGCCCGCATAGTCCTTCGGTAGGCCAAACACAAAGTCCAAACTCATAGACTATCTACACCCGGAGTTTACCGGGGAATTGGCCGAAGAGGGCTTCACCCTTTGACACGTCTCACACGTGCGCATATATGCGCTCGTCCATTTGTACCGCATGGACCACCAGAAGTGGCAACTCACAGAGCTGTAGGTCCTCTCACGACCGAGAGGACCACTGAGTGGGGTGTCGTGGGCTTAATAGAGGATACAATACTTCAAATTCGCATCGTGAGGAACCACAATTCGTGGCGTATCCGTCGAGTTGATGCTATAATACAGCAAACCGTTTTTCAACGAATATCGGTGAAACAGTGCGCGCAATCGCGACAACAACTTCTTGTCTGAGTTTTCGATACCTTGCTCCCGAAAGCCCGTAGCAGCGCTACGAACATATCATCATCTGAGTATGCGGCGCGGATCAAATCCGTCACTGACGACGTCACCGTTGTTATATGAGTCTGCTTGACAACACATCAGCCAGATCATTCTCCTTTCCCGACTTATACTTCACCGCAAAGTTATATTCTGCGCAGAAGAAGAGCCACCTTGCAATACTCTGCGAGAGATGAGGCAACTGAGTCGCCGTGCGTAGTGACGCTTGATCTGTGTAGATCACAAACGACTTGGAATTGAGCAGGTTCACCCTGAACTTGACAACTGCATACTTCATCTCAAGCATTTTTTTGTCGACGACTATCATCGTAACGACTCAGGCGTAGAATGACTACGAGTGCAACGCGGTCACTCGATCTCACCCCCTCGGCATCTGCTAACAGTAGCGCACAGCCGATGGCAAAGTCCGAAGCGTCACAGACCACACTGAAAGAACGATCGGGGCCTAGCAACGTCAGTATTAGTGCATAAAGAAGGCTGCCTCTGACCCAGTCAAAAGCCTCCCGATGATCAGTATCCCAACATCATTCCGCATCTATTTTAAGGAGATTCGAGAGTGGTCATGGCATTTCTGCATAATTCTCGATGTATTTAAGCAAGGAGTTGGCGAGATCCAGCCACTTACGCAAGTCCTTCTGGTTTTTGGAACCGGCCAGTCCACAGTGGTCTTGATCTGAGCGGGATCCGCTCGAAGGCCACGCTTCCCAGTGAAGCACCCTATTAGTGGAACTCTTCCGCACCGAATATGCACTTGTCTGCATTAGCATACAGCTTATTCTTACGCAAGCACTCGAGCACGGCTGCTAAATAGACGACGTGGTTCTCTTCACCAGTCCTTCCTTGCTCCACCCAACGGTGGTCGAAGATGTTGTCGAAGTATGTCTGCGCATACGCCCAGTGGACCCTTATTAACTACACTGCAAGAGGATTAGATGTTGCTGGTGCATTTGACAGCCCTTAGGGCATTACCAGCCACTCCCAGAGCATGCGGCTTGGAGTGCTCACCGCTGTCAACGGAATGTCACTCGCTCTCATGAGCAATTGGTAACACACGTCGACCGAGTCGAGTGCACTGTACTTCGTACATCCTATCATGTTGTTCTGAAGAACATCCTTTCTAGGAATCGGCGTCTGTGCCGGAATGGTGGCA